TCTGTTACTCTTGAATTTGTCTTTTCTTTGGGTAGGTAAAAGCCTCAGTTGCGTGGAAGCAGTTTCTGAAAGCGCAGCTGGCTTTGGCCGCAGCTCAGGCGTCAGCTCAGCGCCGTGTACGGCATGGGAAGGGCACGGTGCTGCTGCTCATGGGGCTGGGGGGCCTGGGCAAGAGCAGCAGGGTGAGAATTAATTAGCATCGCATTAGGAATCCCTTGGGATTTCTTCCCTGTGCTGAATCCTCTGCCAAGGGCTGTCATTCATGCACTGCCTCTTTCCTGGGATGTTTGGGGGGATAAGGAACACTGGGGTCTTCTCCTGGGCATTGCTGTGGCAGAGATCGTCTACCTGCCCTAGCTGTTTTCATGTTGTGTATAAAGCACCTGGTGATTTCTGGAAAGCACTGCATAAAAAGCTGGATACTTCTATTATTTTTGGCTGGTGAAATTAAATTTTGACTCTGATGTCCACTTGATGTAAATATTTATGACAGCTTTTTTTTTTTAAAAAAAAATAAACTAATCCTTGTTACTCCAAGGCAACCCTACAATAATAATCTGTTCTGCATTGCTTAATTCTCCCCCAGCTGCTCCAACCAGCCAATGAATGTATGAAACGTGCTATCAGGTATAACTGGCGAGATGTAGACAGGGAACATCCACCCGCTTTTACACCGAAGATCAGTGCAGAAAGACTTCATTTGCTTTGATTTTTAAAGCGCTTCATATATTTCAGCTGTCTCCCTTTCAGTTTTATTCCCTCTAACTTTAAAGGATGGGTTGTGTTGTTCAGACTTCTCCAGTCAAAACGCTGGTGGAGAATACTACTACTGCCAGGTTGTGCTGGAAGAGCAGAGGCGTGCAAAGCACCTAACTTCTGCTGGGAAGGGAGGGTGACAAATGTATAGAAAGCAAAGTGCGTTGCAACGCTTTGGTGCATCTACAGTTATATTAATGTAATATATAATAAATAGATTCACTGGAATAAAGTGTTGGATATTCTACCAAAGAAAGAGCACTTTCCAAATTGGAACTTGTACACAGAGCATCTTCAGAGTCGTTGTCCTCCTCAGAGGCACCACTTTTTCCCTGTAGGTATTAACAGGATTTCAAGATCCAGAAAAATCAGACAGCATGTCCTGGAGCCTGGATACTTCTTGTGCAGGGAGAGTTGCCAGGGCAGCCGCTCCATTGTGGTGCCTTATCTCTGTCTTCATTTTCCAAAATGAACTTACTTGACACATTCCCAGGTGATAAATGTTCGGTCTACTCATAGCTTGCTTTGTGTGTATAACGGACAGTGTATTTTACCATACTGTTTTGTGCAATGATTTTCTTGTGCTAGCAGGGGGGGAGACTCATTGCTGTGATTGCTGATGCATAACATTATGTATGTAAATAAGAAAATTAATAATTTCTGAGTGTTTGAGTTGTGGCAAGAGTGAGAAGCTGGTGAAGTGGAGCCTGTAGCAGCACTGACCTTACCAGCCAGCAGAAAACCCACTAATCAGCGAGATGTGCAGAGTTGGTTTCCTTCACGTCTCCCCCTCTGTATTCCACACGTTGATGTTCAGGCTGAGGGCAGGAGAGCTTCTGTGAGGCTGTTTGGAGTAAAGTGAGTCTCACCAAAGGATGTTCTTAAACAAAAGGTAGAGCTGGTAGTTATTGTTCTCATTTTGGAGCATATTTTGCTGGGTTTTCAGCATCCAGGAGTCAAGGATCTGAACTGCATTAAGGCTGTCCTTGCTCAGTACCATGAAGGCACCTGAGATTGCTCCCCCTTCACTGTTGCAGTGCATCTCTCATGCTGCAGGTTTACGGAATGAACAGTCCAGCCAAGTGGGAAACTTCACTAGGGACAATGAAACCCCGCAGACCTTCCCCTCTTTTCTCCTGGCATCTTTCTGTGGAGACGTTTCTCCTCGCTGTTCTACAGAGCTTGCTTTTGCCTGGAGCTGGGTCACATTGTGCCAAAGCTGGGCCAGCGACCGAGCCCTTCTCTGCACAGGACCTGTGCGTCAGGCTGGTCGTTGGAAGAGGCCAGGACAGCAATTCAGCAATTATCCAACACGGTCTTCAGACTTAACTTCCCTCTTGCCTTGGCCCATCTGTTCATTTCTTTGCCATGTGTTTCCTTTAGGATCTAGAGGAGCTAATTCTGAGCCTTCTCCTCCCCTTCAGCATGAAGCAGTATCTGCTGAGGGCAGGAGAAAGAGTCTCCATCTGGACAATTAGCAGGGCAGTAAGCTAGGTAGAGTCGTTGCAAGCTGCTGGAGGCAGCCAAAACCAGTGTAAAGCAGAGAACGCTTAGAACGAGGTGTGGGTGATGGGCACCATTGCCTTTGGGGTCCCCTGGAGCTACAGCGATGAGGGGTGCAGATATGAGGTGAATAATGTCATGCGTTTCTCTTGCATTGTATGGTCTTTGGCCACATGAAAAGTCCCGGTGGACAGTGTTGTTGTTCCCATTTTGCAGTATGGCCTAAGGCAAATGTGCCCAGGAAAATGTTGCACCTCATCGACCCCGCAAGTTGCCCCTCGTTCCCTTCCAGGAGGGAGGTGGTTTCCCGCTCTCTCTTGCCTTTCAAGTCAAGGATTTATATGCCTGTATTTGACAGTACTGAAGGGTCTGCATGTTAATTAGGCATTTTGATTAAAAACCAGCTTTTTGTTAGAAAATAAACTTCCTTGTTGAAAAATACTAGATCTAGAGCAAATCAAGGGAGGAGCTGGATTTCCTGCTGGTTCGTATGCTCTGTGCTGGGGATAATTTAAGATTACTTCAGTTGTTGTGATGTATTTATTCCCCCAAACTATATTCTTTTTATTATTATTCACTAACATCTGTTTGTTAAACATTTAAATATTCCCACACCCAGAGCTTATTATTTGAGACATTTATAATGTACCCACCCACCCATCAGTGATTTCATTTTGGCAGACATAAAACCAAAACAGCTATTCCTTACAATTGCCAACAAAACTATTGTGATCCATTAATCTTTTTAAAAATCATCATTCAGATAGAAACCTTTGCAGCAAATATGCAGTGATGGCTGATGAGAAGGGAAAACTGTTGATCATTTGCTTGTCTGATGGAAAATAATTGCCATAAGCAAAGAAAATAGCTCCAACCTAGTTGTCGCTCCCAGTCTTTCCAGACAGCCTCTGTGTTCCCAGGCTATTCACCCTCAAAATCTAAAAGACAGATTGAATAGAGGGGTATTTTTTTTTTTTTCACTGTATCATAAAGACTGCCAGACTTGGCTCTGGCAGGCTGCGAGAAGGAATGCGTTTCAGAGCACAGCATTTCCCACCATGAATGTCTCAGCCCCTCGCTGTCAGCAGGACATAAATGAGAAGCAATCCTTCTGGTATGAGCTGGCCTGACCCTTTGCATTTCACTGGAGGGCAAGTATAGAGCTAGTACTGAGTGTGATTGCCGTGTGCTCCCTTGGACGGTCCAGTTTCGAAGGCATTCTGCATTAACTGAGCCTAGCAGGAGATCTGGCTTCTCCATAAAGGTCTGATTCATGCTCCTTGCAAGCTGAAGTTGGGTTGGCTTAGTTCATCTCTGCTTAAAAAATGCATTGGCAGGCTGCACAAGTCATGCACGTTCCAGGCTCTGGACAAGTCAAGGAGAAGCTGGGGGGGGAGGGTGACCCAGCCCTGGTTTTAAAATCGTGATAACTGCGTGGCTATTTTAACACATCCTGTTCTCAGGTAGCTTGGTAGCATCCAGCCTCTGGCTCTAGCAGTGCCACGGCTCCTGCGAAGGCTCACTTTAGGGGCTGAAGGTAGCTGTGGTGCAGCAAACGGCTCTGTGGCTCTTCAGAGTGTTTTTCCCTGATCTCAAAAGAGACGTCCTTGCAAGATGTATTGGTATTTGGTTGTGAGGGGAGTTTGGCTTCTGCGTTGCCCCGTGGTGACCTCTGATAAGTGAAGGGATTGCATGGATAGAAAACATCAGTTGCTCTCCCTGGGTTTGGTGGTGGGATTGGAAACCCAAGCAGGGATGAAAAGACATGAGACTTTCCTGTGGTATGGGAGATGTCAGGAGAAACTTGAGGGAACTTCATTACCACCCCGCCCCCCCCAAAACACAATTTTCCAGGTGATTGTATTGCAAAGCAGTGCCAGTTCCTGGTGCTTTGAGAGGTGCTGGTCTGAAATCCTACCAGTACCAGTCCTTTTGATCACTAGTCTCACTAGTGATAACGTGTATCTGTTTCACTGTCTGCTAATGGCTTTTGTCTCCTTAAATGCCAGAGAAGCTGCTCTCTCTGAAAGCAGCTTGAAGCATTTAGGACTCATTAGACTTCAAAGGAAAGAGGCCTGTACCACAAGCCAGAGGGGAGGAGATGGGGTGGCAAGAGGATCCCATTAATGGAGAACACAAATAAACCCCAGACAGGAAGGAAAATCCTATAGGTCTGACTTGGAGCTGCAGTCCTGATACGGTGGCTTTGAGGACCAGTTCAACACAGGAGTTGCACAGAGAGAAACCCCCTGGCTTGGCTTCTGCCCACACTGGACCCGGGTGCTCTGAGCACGCCTGGAGCCTGCAACAAGGGTCCCACCTGCACCGGCAGTCAGAGGGATGTCCACTTCTCTGGCGAGCGCTGGCATTTGCCAGTGGACCTTTGCCCCCAGGACTTGCATACCAGTGGGCCTTTGCACCCAGGACTTGCATGCCAGCAGGCCGTAAGGTATCAGACAAGTGCTTTGATAGGGGCTGCTCCTCTGTCATCGCCACATTGGTGAGAGAAGGTGGGGATGTGGTTTGCTGGTAATTGTTTCCTCTTCTCTCTTCTCGCCACTTTAAACACACTTTATTCTGCTAAGGTATTTAATCTATGGGAGGGATTTTATTTTTTTTTTAGGTACAATGCTTTTGGCAAGAAGAGGATATGCAGGGAATAGGTCCTGACAGAGCTATTTAAAAGAGAGCGTTCCTGGGTGTTGTACTGACCTGCTCTTCTCTCTCCTCTCCTGTTTCAGGGAAGATCCTCTTCCGCCGGAGTCACATCCGTGATGTTGCAGTCAAGCGCCTGATACCTATTGATGAATACTGCAAGGTAAGGGGAGGTTTCTAGCATCAACCAAAGATGAAGCCACCTTGATCAGGCTTGATCCTGTTTGCCTGATTGTATACAATGGTGTGCCAGTGCTGGGAGAACAGGGAGTGTGGGCTATCCCCCACTATCAACCCCATTTTCACTCCACATGATTAATGCGAGGGCTTGGAGGCCTGGGTGTGCAGGGTGCCCCAGCTCCATACCAGCTTGCAGCCTGTTGCTGTGCTTTCCCTTTCTCTTCTGCCTTCTCAAGCTGCAAACCAGAACCAGCTTTCCAGATGGACTGGAAAGGACCTGGCTGCCTGACCATGTTCTGTCTAGTACGTGGTTTGGAGTGAAATGGCTGTGTGCAGGACTAGGCTTGAAGGACTCGGTTCCTCGGGGAGCCTTTTCTTTCCCATCTGTTGGGATCAGACCTGCTGTTTTATGTTGAAGACAGCACTTTTTTGGTGGGATGGGTCCAAACTGGGATGTAAACTCCTGTTACTGGTTATGTAAAACAGTTTTTTGCACAGGGGTAAGATGACTTGTACCTGCAGAAAATTACTGGAAGCCAGTAGAGATAAGGCTGAGATAATTTGCCCCATACTCTTGAAGAATATAAGACTGTACTTAAGTAAAAGGCAAATTATGATGTTAGGGCATTTTTTTTTGGGGGGGGGGGTGGAACAAAATACTAAAGTCCACAAAAAATTACACAAGTGAAGTATGCCACATCTCATCATATTGAAGTGCACTAGTACTTGCAGCAGCCATGAAATGGTCTGGAGGTAGAACTGGTACCTCCAAAATCCAGTCTGAATGCTGTTGAAAACATATACAAAGACTGCAAAACTCAAAGGAGAAGATGGGGAGATGGTAAAATATCCATCACGTTGCTTAGGTGCAGGAGGCATAGCAGTGACTATGGCCTAGTATTTTGTATGGTGGGAGAGACTGGGTTTTGGGACTCAGCCAGACCTATGGAAGGGATGTCGTGGCTGGAATAACAAGTACAAGGATAAAGGTGAATTAGTAAATGCATCTTGACAGCTCTGCAGTGGGTCTGTGGGTGAAAAACCACTGCAGGCCAGGATAGGAGATGAGAGCAGAGTGATGGAGATGTAGTGCAAGGTGTGCTTGGACCTGTGTGCTCCATACAGTGTGGGGGAAGCTGATGGTGCAAGTAACCACTTGGCTCCAGCCAGGCACGATCATCCCCTTGTCTTCTGAGTCACTAAAATGTGCCAGCTACGTACAGACACACACAACCATAAATTTAATTTTTGGGAAGAAAAAGTCTCTAAGTGATAAGATGCTACAGCTGGCTGTCTCAGAATGATGCTATTAATGGCATAAAATATAATGAATCCATTTAACAACTGGAACATAATGGCTGATGTTATATGACCCACTTAGATCCGCTCTCTCCTCCTCCCGTTAATGCATTACCAAGTAAGAACATGCACACTGTGCCTGGCCTTCCAGTTGCTGCTACTTATCCGTAAAGCTTCTGAGTTGAAGGTGAGTGTGGGACTGAAGGCTGCAGAGATGTGGAATGAGCAAGGAGTCAGCGAGAGCAGAGAGATGTCCCTCCTGGACACGTCGTGCTGCAGATCGCAGCCGCAGTGTCCCGGCGCACACCTACTGCCGTGTTTGTTGTTGGAGGTGGAGGTTGCAGGTGCTTGGAGGGTGGTGGTGCAGAACAGAAATACAAAATATCTCCTCCAGCTTGGCCCTGCTGAGTGAGAACTGAGGGTTAGGTGAGTACGTTCTGAACAAGTTCCCACAGAAAACTGTGAGAAAGTTTTTGTATTCTTGCCATCTCCTGTGAGAGAAGTAGGGTGTCTTTCTTCTCTGGGAGGGCCCTGGAAAGAACGTGGGTGAGATTTGGGGTGGAAGTAGGCAAGAGGAGCAAGGGAGGGAACCACTGCTTTCGCAAGACAATGCTCTTGCTGAAGGGCTCTGTTCCAGATCCCTCTATACTGAAAAATGTGGCAATTTAAGGTAAGGTGCAAGAAAAGCAACAAAAAAGTCAGAGCAACCAGTCACCAAATGAGACTTCAGACGACCATAGGAATGACAAGGAGGAGGAGCGAAGGCAAGAAATTTCTTCCCATTTCTCCAGTTTATTCTCTTTGTGTTCTACATCGGTTGTTCTTTCCCCTGGTGTGGGAACTGCCGTCCTCCTGTCTAAGGGATTTTGAGAAAGTGTTAGTTGGAGGGTTGATGAAGGAGTTGCAATGCTGTGATGCTCTACCCCAACAAGACTGGGTGGACCACTAAAAAAAAGTGCTGCTAGAGAATAATTCTTTCACACTCCCTGGAAAATGGATTTCAGTGCAATAAGTCTTGTCTGTTTTTGGTAAATGACCTTTCTCCTGCAGGCAGCAGGGTGGGTAAGGTGACTTGCTGTGGCTCCAACACCATGGGCTGAAGCCGTGTTCTGAAGGCTCTCCCCAGCTCACTCATTTGGGTAGCAGAGCCAGAGGTGGGACAGCAGACGTCCTGCTATCTGTGCCACTACTTTTGATTTGGTGGCCATAGCTGCTGTAGACCACGGCCAGCTAGACTGCAGGGTGGCCTGCTTGACTCGGCCATCACCATGCCAGCTGAGTCAGCTCTAGGTGGGCTTCCTTCAAGATGTCCTGAGAAATGCGCTGTGGGCCTTGCCTTTCATCCTTCCAGCACAAGGTGTTTTCTGTGATCATCCTCTGCTATCGGAGGACACGGAGCCTTTTCCAGGCCACAGAATCAGAGTGATTTTGAGATGGGGGAAATTGTGTAGATCATGGGATGCCTGGAACTGGGGAGTGGTACCCACAGGGGAATGGCATCCATGCAAAACTTAGTCTTTGAATAGCCTTTCCCTGGACCCAAACGCCATGGAGCGAGTAGTTTTCTCTCTCCTGTCTCTCACATGATCTTGATTGCAGCTGGCCCGTGATTAGTGGTCTGACTGTCTGCCGCGCTGGCAGTGAATGACTGTGTGCTGAATGGCTGGAAGGGCTTTTGGGGACCAGCAATTAGGTCAATATGGAGCCACATCTGATCTGTGTGGTAACTCCAGGGCTTTGCAGATGTGGCTTTGTCTCCAATACAGAAATGAGTGGAGGTTCGGTTTGCCCACACTGCTGTCACAAGACTGCTGTGACAGCAAATGGAGGGGAGGGGGAATTACATAGAAAGTCAGTTAAACATCTGCTCCAGGTCGGGCTGCAGCACTGCTCCCTGATTTCAAATCTGCCCTTTTTCAATTGCATGGGTTTTTTTACTTTTTGCAGTCACCATCATCTGTGACTGTGTTCCCTCCCATGAGCAGAGAGCAGGGCAGGGCTCTCTGCCAGGCAGCTGCCCATGCTGCCTTCCCTGCCCAGCCCTCGCTGCAGCCATGTTGGACAGGACCTACAAGAGCTCTGGCCCAAGGCAAATATTGCTGTCCCAGACTCTGCCCCCAGCTCCCACAGACATGCACACTCTCACCCTGCAAGTCCCACCATTGAAGCTTGTCTTTTTGCAACAGGCTTCCTCGAAGGGAAAGGAGAAAAGCAGAGGCAGCTTATAGCTCCTGCCATTTGACAGCACGCATAGCAGCCTTCCAGCCCTTGCCCTGACGAGCTGGTGTCCATGCTTTTGCCTCCTATTGCTTCTCTCCCTGCCTCTGCTCGAGCTGCTCTGCCCAGTGGAGCATTTTTGGGATGTGCTGGTCAGGGCTCATGGCACTGAGAGTCTGCCACGTGTAAACTGCCCACCCTTTCCTGAGGATGACGGCTCTATAGCCCCAGCACAGTTCCCCAGCTGGGAAACTGAGCCCGGCCATGGCCGGGAGGCTGGGTGCCGGGACAGATGTCCCCGTGGCTCTGTGAGGGCACATCTGTCCAAAAGGCTGGAGCTGGGCTAAGCAGGGCCCGGGCAGTCTCTGCTTATTCTCCTTTAGTCTTTAGTTGCAGCTGGGATGGTGCAGTGAGTGTAACTGGGGGCTGTCTGGGTCTTGCTCCACTTCGGTGTGTGTTTGCAGTAGCTCTTCCCAGCCTGGCTCTGTGCTCCTGTGTGCCAGGAACCACATGGGTGCTGAGCTCGGTGCTGAGACCCAGTCCCCTGCGCTCTGAGGGCCTGTCCTCACGCAGCTCCTTGCTCAGTCTTGATGCTTCCCATCACCGGTGTCTCTGTTTCATGTGCAGGCTCTGATCCAGCTGCCTCCCTACATCTCCCAGTGTGAGGAGGTTCTCCAGTTCTTTGAGACACGACCTGATGACTTGACGCCCCCCAAGGAGTAAGTTGGTTGGGTAGCTGCTGGTTGGGGTGGTGATGAAACTCAAACTGCCTTGAACTTGCTGGTATCCATAACAGTCTGATGTTCATCGACAGTTCCCCCCGTGAGTCACAGATCTGGGACTTGGAGGTTTTCTTGGAGAGGGAACGAGGGCTATGCAACTTGAGGTGGACACCTCTGCCCACTCAGCCTGGCGTAGCCTTCTCCAGTGGGGAGGTGGAAACGCTTCTCTGGGACCCCATGAATTGTTGGTCTCCTCCCAAGCTGCTTTCTGCTCGCAAATGCTGGTTTCAGAAACATGGTCAGTCTGAAAAGCCTCATTTCACATGGTTACTGATGACCTCTGCCTTGTTTGAAAGGCACTTTCCCTTAGCCATGTCCATGAGCCCCATCCGTAACAACGCTCCAGAATCTTTCCATGCAAAACAAGGAACGTTTGCAAGGAATCTCGCGTGCCTTACGCAACTCTGTGTGGTTATAAGTCTTGTGACTATGAGCTACTTTGGCCAGGAGCCACCCATCTCTTACTAATCACAAGCAGCATAAATCTGAGCAGCCGCCTCCATCTTCTGCTATGTTGCTCTCTCGTTTTATGCTGCATGTGACACAATTCACAGCTCTACCAAAGGTTGAGCAATGGAGGACGCTTGATTAATTGTGAGAGGAAAGGCAGTAAATTGATTTGACATCTTCTATATTGGAAGGGTGTGGAGATAGATAAAGGGATTTTGTTTTCTCCTCTGAGCAGCAACACTGTTCTTTCAGGTCTCCAGCTAAGTATTACGCTTCTGTGGACTATATATTCTCCCCGGGTTTTCGATTTTTTTTTTATTCCATCTCTTTTTTTCCTGCTTTCCTCCTTTGGCTCCTGTCTCTATTTGCTTGGCCTGTCGTCATTCCTCCTGCAGCTCACAGTCACTTGATGAGATTGGTCTGAGGGCCCCGGAGCCCATTAACTAATTGCTTGCTGTCGGCTGGCGCTCTCATCCGTCCTGCCCAGCTACTGCTCACCACTTAACCTGCCACCCCAGGGGTCATCCCTCAGCGAAGGCAGCAGCTCAGGGGCAAGCAAGAGACACGAGGAAAAGACGAGCTTGCGAGGACATTGGGTGGGGGTTTATCGCTGGGGTTAACAGCCCCTGAGGCTGTTTTGGGATGTGGGGGGTTTCTTGGAGCCCTGCATGAGAGGGTGGTGAGCTGTGTTGCCAAGGGAGTCGCTTACTGAACCCACTTGTGGCTGAGGCACTGTCACACGTGGCGGATTGAAGGGCACCTTCAGTCTTGCACCCAGTTTCCTCACCTTTATTTTGTCTTGTAGACTGATCCAGAAATCAGGCAGGGTGGGGGCTGTGGCCAGATCAAGGAGCACATTCAGATGTGGAGACCTTTGGGTGCTAAGCATTAGCCCAGAGCGGTGCATCTCAGCAGTGTTTGAAGCTGTAGCTCCTGGCCCTCCAGCCAAGCAGCGATCAGTGCCATGTCCCTCGTTGTCTCCCTGGTTTGGGTCCAACAGACGAGGGGAGCGGAGGTGCCATCCCAAAGTCCAATCCCAAGCACGTGCTTGTGTTGCAGGGTCCATCCTGAGGTACATCCTACAGCGTCCTGCGTCCCTGCTGAGCAGCGCCCGGGTACAAAATGGCATTCACTCCGAAATTGCCATGTGTCTGTGAGTGTTTGGCCATTGCAGTGCTGGATGGGCGAGTGGGCGATGCACCACTGACTCCAGCAGTGGTTGTGCTCCATCCTGCTGCCTGCTCCTCTCCAGCGAGGAGAGGTGAGCTTGCAGCACGCAGAAGGATTTTGCGGGTGACTCTTGTCCATTTGCCTCCAGCAGCAAAATGCTACAGCATCTCAAGGACATCTTTGTTGTGTTTCCTATCCCAGCCTGAATGCCAGAGGGGTATTTATTAGCTACAATTCAAAATGCTAATTAATAAAAGTCCTTGACTCTCTCCTCTGGAGAGATTGGTGGGAGCCCTTTCCTGAGCCCCGAGTGCTGGCAGGCCGCCAGCTTACCAATAACGAGATGAGAGCTGTGATAGACGGCTGGGCTGGATCAGACGTGATGGCGTGTCTGGGGTTTGGCCGGATGTCATCATTCATCCAGCAGATAAATACTTTTCTCCGGGAATTTGAAAGAAAAAAAAAAAAAAAAAAAAAAAAAAAAAATGAGGGGGGGGGGGGGGGGGGAAGGCAGCTTTTTTTGCTGGGTGGCTGAAAGGTGGGGATAAGGGAGGGAAAAAGGACTGGTCAGCGTGCTCAGTGCCAAGCCAAGCAGCCGCTCTCGTGGCACTGTGGCCAGGACCCTTCCTGCTCCCCATCCCTTGCCTTGGCTTCCCCAGCTGACAGCTCAGGTGGCAGCATGCCCACGGGACTGGCGGCCGGTGGCAGTGAAGGGGACGTGCCTTTGGGTGCTGTCGGATGCACCCTCTGCTTGATTTTTTTTCTAGGGCACAGGTAGAGGGTCCACCTAACTCGCATCACCCCAAAGTGTGAAACCACTTTCAGGGGCCACAGTTGACTACAGTCTGTGGAGCTCTGAGTTTAACTGCAAAGGATAAATGTAGTCCTTGGTCTGGCAGTGTTTGGGAATGGAAAGAGGAGGTTGGACAGCCCATGCATCTATCTCCGAGTCCCTGTGGTGTCTGCTTTGCCCAGCACTGCAGCTCTTCCTGTGCTGAGCCAGGACCTTCCTTCTGCTTTCGGGCAGTGCAGCTCCCTTCAGTGCCCCTTGGCCAGTGTTGGGAGCACCAACAAAAACAGGTCAGTGCTGGCTACCAGGCCTGCAACCTGAGTTCCTCAGCCCTTCTCCATCTCTCGCCTGCTCTCAAGCCCCAGCCCTGCTGCTGGCATGTGCAAAGGGAGATCAAGCGGACAAGGGCTGAGCGGAGACGGGAAGAGTCAAATGCTGACTTTGCATGTCCTTTTTCCCCCGTCACTTCCAGTTGGGCGGTAGATCACAGCTGAAAGCAGAGCTGAGACGTGAGTCTCCAGCAGTCAAGGGGGTGAAAGAGGGAGGTGAAGCCCTTCCTCCATCCCCTCCACACACCCGCCAACTTTCCAGTGTCCTCATGCCCAGAGGGACCACTTCAAACAGGAGAGTGGATTGAGGTTGTGGTGTTTCCACTGGCAGTGATGATCAGTGGCTTTTGTGACGTGGATCCCTGTCCAGCAACCTCTGGACTGGAGTAACTCAACTGCTTCCAACTTGGAGGGCGGCTTGGTGGTGGGTTGGAGTGGGGCTGTAATCTGGAGGCATTGGTTACATTTGGGAAGAGGTGACTCCACAGAGCAGTGGTGGGAGGTGGAGGGAGAAGAGATGTGGTTATGGAAAGAGAAATCCTCTGGCAAGGTAGCAATCCGTGGGGATGTGGGATTTTTCTCCCTGTGTTGGGTGGAAGCCCTGTGAAAACTGTAGTTTCAAAGGAGAGAAATCATCAAATTCCTGCTCCCTGCATATCTCAGCAGGTCTGACCAGCAGCAGGATGCTCGGTGGTTGAGGTGAGACGTTGCTGTGTGCACCCCCCCTTATCTCCCATCCACCCTTTTTCAATTTAAAGTCGTTTTGAGCCACAGCAGAAAGTTTCTGGAATAAGGCTGGGGAAGTCTGAATGGCTGGGCACAAAGCCACTGCTGAGTCAAGGCACTCAGCTGCTAACTCTCCTCGCCAGCTGAATTTCGGCTCTGCGACATGTGGGAGCCCAGGTTAACTCCGTAGCAAAGCAAGATCCTAAGTGGTTATTTAATAATTGTCCGCAGTGTACAGGCAGGGCGTGCTGGGGAAGGACCCGTCATCGTGCTGCTTCCCAGGGGCTGTGGAGCTGCTGTCCTCTGTACGGAGGTACCCCTGGCTGTGAGAAACCTCTTTCATTGAAAGCATCTTTCATTGTTTTCTTTTCGGTAGCTGAGCATCCCATTATATATAAGATACTTAAAGCTGTTGTTTTGAACCTTTTAGCTTATGACCCCCCTGTTTTTTCTCCCCAGTGGAGGCACAGGCACCTGTAGAGCAAATTTACTCTCTCTTAACGTGCTTAAAAGATGCCCTCAAGGACCCCTCCTCGCCCCTTCTGGGGGCTGTGGATTCACAGTTTGAAAGCTACCGGTTTCAGGAGGTCCTGATGTCTTTAAAAGGCATAAATTCCTCTTCTTTAAAGTACCTTCATCCTTACGTGCTGGGTCTGTCAGTCCAGCAGGTCTCCTGCAAAGGGTGGGCAGGGCCGAAAGGCTGGCGTGGGCTCCCTGGCTGCCTGGACAGCATGCAGAGGCTTAGCGCAGGATTGGGGAGGTCGGCAGGCCTTGCACCACGACTCTCTGAAGGCTTGTTAAGGGCTCATGACCTCTACAAGAGCAGATGATAGGAGAGGTGGGGCCCGTGTCTCAGCGGAAGCTGCAGTGCCTGGGGTTACATCTGTGCCCATCCTGTCTTTGGAGACCCCAGCTGGGGGTTTGGCCAGTGAACTTCAGCTGCTGCTCCTCCCTGCTCGCTGAGGTTGCTTGGCTTTCCCAGCTGCTACCACCCAAACAGCGTACTGGGAGCAGTGCTTTCAGCCTGCTGGGTGGGCCGTGGGGTGGTGGGAACCAGAGAGACCCCACATCTGACTTGCCTAGTCTGCAGACGGATGAGAAACCTCCTCCTGCTGCCGCTAAGCAAACATCCTCCAGGAAAGGCTTGGGCTGCTGCTTCCCAGTTGAGCTGATCTTCAAAGCTGTTCACGTGAAGCGAGAGTGAGTGGCTTTCCCTGCCGCCGTCTCAGCCAGCAGCATTGTTGCAGGACTGTGCTCTGGCCTCTTGGGCTTGGTCCTCTCCTGGCAGGAAGGCAGCCCATGCAGGCAGGTGGTGTCCCTCTGGCCTTGACCTGCTAACCCAGGGCCTGTTCACAGCAGTAGGTCCTTGCCCCAACTCCCCAGCACTCCTGGGTCTTGGTGGCTGCAGTTTCTGCTGCCACGGTTATGGTAATACACCCCAAAGACATTGAAAACGGAGAGAGGAAGCACTG